ATTGAAAACTCTAACATTTCATGGTCATTATGCCCAAGACAGCCACTGACCATCACACCACCCACTATTCCCTCTCTGTTCACAAACAATAGGTCTAGCAGGGCACCTCCTCTAGTTAGCACATTTACCAGTTGTGTTAGGAAGTTCTCTTCCACACACTCTAGGAACCTCCTGGACTGCTTCCTCTCTGCTACATTTTCTTTCCAGCAGGTATCTGGCAAGTTGAAGTTGCCCACAAGAACAAGGGCCAGCAACCATGAGACTTCTGACAGTCTCTTGTAGAATGCCTCATCTGCCTGTTCATCCTGGTTGGTGGTCTATAACAGACTCCCACAATAACGTCCACGCTGCTCACCTTCCCCCTGATCTTTACCCATAGACACTAAACCTTGTCATCTTCATCATCATCAATTTCAGTACAGTCAAGACACTCCCTTACATACATTGCTACCCCACCGCCTTTCCTGCTTCACCTGTCTCTTCTAAAGAGCTTATAGCCACTCATTGCAGCACTTCAGTTGTGAGAGTCATCTCTACCATGCTTCTGTGATGGCAACTACATCATAACTTTCCTGCTGTACAATGGCTTCCAGTTCTTCCTGTTTGTCGCCCATACTGTGTGCATTGCTGTAGATGCGCTTCAGCTAGGCTAATCGTTTTGACTCTGACACAGGCACGCTGCCCCTAGGTTCATCTCTAGTGAGCCTGGTCCTATCCCCTTCCCTCTTCAAACCTAGTTTAAAGACCTCTCAGTCAGCCCTGCTAACTTCTGAGCCATAATCCTTTTTCCCTTCCAAGTCAGCTGTACCCCCCACCTGACATAAGCAGACCTGGTTCCATGAAAGCTGCCCCATGGTCAACATTCTACCTATGGCACCAGCCTCTTAGCCGTGTACTAATCAGCTGAGTTTTCTTATTCCTTTCGGTATTTTTCCTTAATACTGAAGCAATTGAGGAGAATACAACCTGTGCCCCTACTCCTTTAACCAAATACCCCAGTGCCTTGAAGTCCCTTTTGATTACCTTGGGACTGCTTCCTACAATCTCATCTCTACCCACCTGGAATACTAATAGCGGATATTAGTCAGAGAGCCACACCAATTTAGGAAGCTTCCTGAATGACAGTTTTGACACTGTCTCCAATAACATCCTCATAGGTAAGGTTAAGAAGTGTGGGCTAGATGAGTGGACAGTGAGATGGATTAAGAACTGGCTGAACTGCAGAGTCCAGAGGGTCGTGATCAGTGGCGCAGACTCTAGTTGGAGGCCTGTAGCTACTTGTGTTCTCCAGGGGTCAGTTCTGGGTCCAGTCCTATTTATCTTATTCATCAATGACCTGGATGAAGGGACAGAGTGTACCTTCAGCAAGTTCACTGATGACACAAAACTTAGAGGAGTGGCTCATACACCAGCAGGCTGTGCTGCTATTCATCGAGACCTGGACAGGCTAGAGAGTTGGATGGGCGGAGAAGAACCTGATGAAGTTCAACAAGAGAAAGTGTAGGGTCCTGCACCTCAGGAGGAATAACCCCATGCACCAGTACAGGCTGGGGGTTGACCTGCTGGAGAGCAACCCGGTGGAGAAGGACCTGCGAGTCCTGGTGGACAACAAGTTGATCATAAGCCAGCAATGGGCCCTTGTGGCCAAGGCCAATGGTACCTTGGGGTGCATTAGAGGAAGAGTGTGGTCAGCACGTCAGGGGAGGTTCTCCTTCCCCTCTACTCTGCCCTGGTGAGGCTGCATCTGGAATACTGTGTCCAGTTCTGGGCTTCTCAGTTCAAGAAAGACAAGGAACTACTGGAGACATTCCAGCAGAGGGCAATGAAGATGATGGGGGGACTGGAGCATCTCCCTTATGAGGAAAGGCTGAGAGAACCGGGTCTGTTCAGCCTGGAGAAGAGAAGGCTGAGAGGAGATCTGATCACTGCTTACAAATACATTAAGAGCGGTGACAAGAGGATGGGGCTAGACTCTTTTCAGTGGTGCCCAGCAACAGGTTAAGGGGCAATAGGCACAAAGTGAAACACAGGAAGTTCCATCTTAATATACTTTGAGGGTGGCAGAGCACTGGAACAGGCTGCCCAGAGAGGTTGTGGATCCTCCTTCTCTGGAGATATTCAAAACACACCTGGATGCAATCCTATGCAACTTGCTGGAGGTGAACCTGCTTTGGCGGGGGGTTGGACTAGATGATCTCCAGAGGTCCCTTCCAACCCCATCCATTCTGTGATTCTGTGAAACGGACTTAAATGACACTTGTCATCCTTAAAAGGAAAATCAGCCCTTCCGATTTGTTCTGTGGCTCTCACAAACTCAGAGAGGCAACCGGGGTAACAGTCTGCTACAGAATGAGGAATCCTCCTTCCAGCACATTCACCTAGACTGTAACTGCTGACCTCCAGAAAGAATGACAGCTAACGTCTTTTTGTTTCATAAAGGTGATCCTTGAACTTAGCGAGCATAAAGCATATTTGAATCTGGCCCTTTTCAGCTCTAAGTGCAGATAGCACACAGATGGGCTGTCTTTACTGTAAGATCTGTATGTACAGAAAAGGGGCAAGATAGGAGAGCTGACCCTGGCTGACTCATCCCTCCAAAGCCTTCAAAGCAAGTCAAAGCTCATCTTATGGAACCCTTCTGAAGGGGAGGTCCTGGCCATACAGTGTGATTATCTTGGAGCACGAGAAGGAAGAGACATCTGCAATCCTTGAAAGAGTCATAGAGAGTCATGACTAACGCCTGTTAAAAAAAAAAAAAAAAAAAAAAAAGAAACAAAAAAACCCCACACAACACCACACTCTGGAAAGTCTTAGGCGCCTGAACTTCCCAAAATATGCAGGAACAAACTAAGGTGTTAGGCCATAAATATAAGTAAATCAGAAATTTTAGCAACTAGGATCTGACAAGAGCATGGGGTCATCTATGACGTTTCCTCGAAAACTCTGGACAGATACATATAGCTTCCAAGAACTACTCCAAGTATTGTTTGTTTTCAAGGGGCTGGAACGTGTGTCACAGAGCTGCCAGCCAAACCACAGAAATGCCAGAGTGCACTTGCGAGGTCGGCAGCCCTGCCACGGGTAGGGCCTTCCTATCTTCACCTACTTGGTGCAATGAATAACCAATTAAACATATTTCACTGACGCAGTATTTCTTTGTTCAAATACTGAAGACAGCCTGCTTTCATTTTTAAGTGGTAACTCCTGCTCATTTCAGGTACAGATAATTTTTGGCTTACCTGGTTCCCATTCTCATCTGTGAAGAGTCTTCTCCTGCAAGTTCACTCTCATTCATACCTTGCTCTGGCTTTGTTTCCTGTAAAAACAGAAGTATGAGAAGCTGTGCATCTCCTATTGGGCAGAGAGCAAATGCTTTTAGAAAAACATTTGAAAACCAAGTTCTGTCTTGTACAGACTTGCTCAAAATCAACAGCATGTTTGTTTCCTTTGCTTGCAGGCAAAGTAACCAAAGTTTATGGTTTTCTTACAGAATAAAGGCTGCACAAAGAATCAAAAATCGCAAATATAAAACTCAGAAGAAGAATCAAGATTTAGTTTTGCATAGAAGTAGTACAGAAGTATCAGATTTCACATCTAGTACTGTTGGAATTTCTGAGATCAATCCATAACTACTCAGTTCACGCACCTTAATTAGCTAGATTTCACCTGAAAAAGCAACGTATGACTCTGGAGAACAAAAAAAAAATTACCTTTCATAGAATCATTAAAATCTTTAATCCAATAAAACCTTCCAAACTGCTTTTACTTTGAGTAGATGCTAAGCTCTATCAATTTCAACCCACAACATTTTTAAATAATGAATGATTTTATGAGACACACAAGGAACAATACTGCCTCTTTCCACTTATAGCTGCCACAGCTCAAGAGATAACCAAGTATTTCCACTCAGAGAAATTCTAAAAACTTCAACAAACTGTAAAAACTAAAATCTCATGCTCTGAAGCCCATACCCACAGCCCAGTACAATGGTTATTTCATGCAAGGCTAAAAAAGTTCATCAACTGAGGCACAACCATAAAAATGTATTAGAAGTCATTTTCTCTCCCCAAGTACTAATGCTTCAGTAGTATAAATTAATATGAAGAGGTTTTATTAGCCAACTTTAAAGAATAAATACGTCTAGACAGAAGATCAATATTTCATATAAAGCTTTTCTTTTTTCACTATTCTTTAATGTTCATTCATGGCTTTAAGATTGTTATTACAAACTTCTAATGTTCAGAAAAGAAATTCAAAAAGATTTTAAAACTCATATATAGTCAGTTTTCCACCTTGGGTTTTGCTGAATTTTATAGCTCACATTACTCATAAATATGTTTGTTCTTCAACTATCAAAAGCAAGCTGCAGAAAGGTAGGTAATCTGCACACAAACAAAATTACTGGCACAGTTCTTCGATTCTAGGTTCCTAAACACAAATTTAATCCATTAGATAATACTGCCTCAGGTGTGTAATGAAAATAAACGCAGAACCAAAACACTGCAGGCAAATGTTTCAGGTAGGGTCTGATCCAAAGCTTTCTGAAGTCAAAAGAAGTCAGACTTTAGACCCTGTTTAAACATCTTTTAATGTGTCTATCCTCAGTCAAACTGAATATTGAGTTACTCTCAGAAGCAAAGTTCTGAGGGATGAATGTGGAGGTACCCAGCCTTCCCACTGTAACAAGAAGGAAACTCTGCTTGCTTCTCAAACTTACCTCTTTAATAGTGCTGTTCCTCCCTCGCCATGAAAACCACCACCTTCCACCTTTTTTGGGCATCTTGTCCCTCATTATAGATTCCACAGTGGCCTGTGATAAACAGATGGTAACATAAAAAAAAACCAAAACAAAGGACAACCTGATATATGTAAATGAAAGAAAGTGTCAAACACATAATTTTAACTGATAATAAATAGAATAAAAGTAAACATACTGGCTGTGGACCATAAATTCTACTAAAGCAAAATCTAATGGTATCCAGAGCTGCTCTGAAATAACTTAAGCATGAATACTTATGGTATTTTTAAAAGGAAAATGAAAAAGAGATAAATCAAAGAAGAAAAAAAAGCATAAACAGATATTAGTACAATGTCTAGAATGGAGAACCTACTGTTGTTAAGTTTAAGTTAGTTAGCGCAAATTATATTAAAAAAAAGAAGAATATCACTTCCTGAAGGAGCTCTCATGCAAAACAGTATCATATCCACATGCAAGATAGTTATTCTCATTTAAAAATAACTACAAAGTTCATTATTTAATCACCAGTTTGGAAAAAAGCAAAGAAGTTACTAGCTTTTATGAGTTTAGTATGATGCTATGAATTTGACTGACAATGTTAGAACGCTGGGTTTTTTTAAACCCTGGCTACTTTCCATTGGTTATATATACTAGACCTCAGTAGAGAGGTCTATGTCTATTCAATATCCGTAATGACTGGAGCCTTACACATTGTAACAAGGAGAGCTGAATTCTTCCACTCTGAGAGCAAGCAAAAGATGACAGCGGAAAATATTACAGTAAAGGTGGCCACAGTGTTTGGTACGCCCTACAACAGTTTAGCCACTGGTTTTCTGAGATGACAGCCTCCCCTGTAAGCAAAGTCACCAAAATAAAACTGTGATGTTGATTAGTGATTTTTAAAAAAAAATAATAAATGATTCCAAGAACTCTCAGCAGTTGAGAGAGAGGTCTGAGTTCAGCTAATGTATGGGACAATGCATCCTTTTTGTCAATTTTTCAGTAGGTTCTCTTCACTGTACTATCTGAAGTATATGAGAAAAAAAAGAAATGGCAGAGGAATAAAGTTGAGCAAGTAAGTTGAGAACTTTTTTAACAAAATAAGAAAAGCAAGGAGCAGATGGAGCTACTGAGAACAGAATGCCACTGTTGAGAACAATGGCTACAATTTAAGGAGGTTCTCAAACTTACAGACAACTTCAAGCAGATGTCCTATTGACTTTTAGTCAGATAATTCACATGCTTACAATTAGACATGCATTTAAGTGTATTTTGCAGAACATGAGTGATTTTTTTTTGCAAAAACTCCAGTTTTCAATCACTTCATAGAGCCTGTTTTGATAAAGTATCTTAGTATTTCAATTTCGTAGTTCCATTATTACAGCAAATCAAAACTCTAATTAACAAGTCATTAAGAAAACCAATAGGATGACTGGTAGCATAAACAAGTAATGTTAGTTTCAGAGGTACAGTTCAGCTAAGTAAACCTTCCCATTCATACAGACTGTTCCAACTATATATACTGGCTTCTCCACTAAATTAAAATTGCACTGTCTAGAAAGTTACAGCATTCGGAATGTAAGTTCACCATTAAAAAAAAAAAATCAAACACACTGAATTTCACACTCATAGAAGACTTTTCTTAACTGATAATCTATATAAATAATGGCATAACCATAATGCTGTTGAAAGAATTGCCATTTTCCTTAACTTAACGGAAAAAGATTTCCATTTACTCATCCTAGGCAAAACACAAAACATCTGACTCCTGCATCAAAGTGTTTAATTAAAAATGCAGTTACCTTGCATTATCTTTATTGCTACTGAAGACCCAATAGGCACCTATCAAGGTCTAAATCACCATACACCTTCCATGGGCATTTGAGTTCCATGGGACGAATCCCACCTTTGATGATTACTAGAATATTTGCAGTAAAGCACAAAACATCTGGCTCTGTGACATCCCTGAAATTCAAGCCAGGTTTACCAAATGTTTGGGACTTTTAGGATCAAATTACTTTATATTGGGATGGTACTGTGCAGCTCCAAATGACTGCATACACAGATAACGTGGTACTAAGAAAGAACACAGTGGTAGAGAGTATTCTGGGCTTTGAAGAAATTTTTATTCCATGTTCATGGCAATAGAGATAGCATTTGAATTTACATAGAATAAACCCAAAGACATTTAAAGTGCTGCAAATGGCAGAATAAAAGTTCAGGTTCCAAACGTTATTAAATCCACGGCTAACCAGGATACAGAAGAGTGCCAATGGTGATACTACTTCTTTACATACATTTACAGTAGTGTGTATTTCTGTCCTGAGCATCTGTGTGGCACCAGGTCACGTGGAATTGGACTAAGTTAATTAACGCATTTAATATAAGCCAACAGATATAGCGGTCACACAGTCATAGCTATCTGCCACCACCTAGCTGAGTTGGTTATGAACAAGCAACCAAGAAATAGAAAACCAGCAAGCTATAAGCCTTCCATATCTAGTAGTTAAAGCTTATTCACTGAAGTTAAAATTCCTGGCCTCTATTTTAATTTGATAATATACGCTGCATACAGGTAAAATGGAAAGCAGTCACCAAGTATTCAGCTACAGCAAACATTAACACTGGTCAATATAATTTATGTCTACAATCCATATTAATGAAGGAAAACAGGAAGTTTTCCTTCTTCAAAATATTTGTAATGATGTTAGCCTAGCAAATAAACACTACTCACAGATCATACTTAGTCCTGCTTATTTAGCCCTTAGCATAAGCTAGATGAACGGTTATGTGTCGATAGGTATTACTGATGTGCAAATTCTCTTGTACAACAACCCTCTTCTCTGCCTTAATAAATGGCAGAATGTCACAACTCCTCCTCTGACCAACCTTCATGTTCAATCTCACCTTTGGCAAAGGTTTCTGGAATGCCTGCATTGCCAGCAGAAGGGGACCAGCTGTAGTCCAGTTGTAGTACCTGGGCATGTAAGAGAGACAATTGCTGCATTGTGTAATCCCAAGGTTCCAATTCACAATCAACCCAGTATTTATCATCTGGCAGGTTAGAGCCATGAAGCATCTTTAGCATAGGTCAAACTCTGGCCTACACCAGTAATAGCAGACCCAACTTATTCCACAGTACGTTCACAGGTGTTTATGGTATATACTTTTCAAGGTATGTAAGAGAAGTTAGGTCCTTAAGTAGAAAGGGTATTTGTCATACATTCCTGTCCTTACTATACCTCATTATCACAGCATGAGCTATGTTTTTACAAGCTGTTTTTTCACTGTTTTTCCATCAAGGAGCTACATAAAAGTTAGGGGCCATAGTCTGTAGGATGTCAAGCTTTTGCTATTATGTGCTGAACAGGGGTCAGCTCTTGTTAGACAGTAGGACAAATACAGTACTATCATCCATCTGTCTAATAAAGCAAAGTTGAGGCTCACATGATGTCCACAGAATTACAGTAAAATCCTCGCCAAGTACTCCTTTCTTCCCAATGTATCAGTAGGCAGGTAAACATTACCATCAAATTCAGAGAACTGTGGCAGGGAAGCAATGAGTGGCTCACCTCAGACCACAAAGAGGGCCAGGTATGAGGCCTTAATTGACACAATACCAATTATCACATAAGGATGCACCAAGCATGTCAGATTTGTATGAGCCATGTCTATGACTAAGGGTAGCTTAACCTCCAAGCGCAGCATAATGCCATGATCTCTCCTCTAGTCTGTAACATTGTATGCCAGGTGCAGGGAGCTCTCAATTTAAAAGATCCTCCAAAAAGCTGCGTCTGGCACAGACCATAGTGCTGCACTGCTACCAGCAATATAAACATACGAAATAATGTCTTAGCCTTGCAGAAATAGAAGTCTCATATTCAGTGGGTGAAATTTGACAAGTCTTGAAAAGCAATGCCTCCACAGAGGCATATTAGCAAAATATTCAGTATATACAGACAAACTGCTGGATACAGAGTGCTTGCAAGTAGACTGCCATATCCCTGTAAATATTAATTATTCAAACTGGCTCAGGGCAAGCCCTAGCAAGTTCACATCCTATTTCATTTTTACTCTGCCAATTGAGTGTGAACACTATTAGCATTTAATACTAGCTTCTTGAAATTCAAATTGTGTCAGTTAGCTGTAACAGGTCATCTGAAACTGTTCTTTATTTACCTTTCCTCCTTTAAATTGAAAGTAAAAGAGCCTGAATTCACTACAGAGTTGACTCTTTCTGGATGAATCTAAGCTATGAACATTCAAAACCTATTTTCCAGCTACAGTTAAACTGATCTAACGCACTGAAGTGCCACAGAAGTGTTTTTGTTACAACAGTAAAATATTTTTTCCTGAAATGTACTTACTTATTTCCAATCTTAACCACAAGGTTAGGGTCGTCAATGATAGCAGGATTGTCCACAAACTGCTGATATGTTACTGCATGTTCTAAGAATTCTTCTGCAGGGGGAGAAAATTACATATGTAAAGCATGCATTTATAGATGTCTGGGATGGGCCAACCTAAACCTCTTAGCATCTCTCTGACATGTAGGTTTCACATTCAGGATCAGTCCTTCATTACTAGGGTGCTGAGATTAGCAGTAACATGGAAGCAAGATGTTCAGAGACTCTCAATCTCAGAACATGCTGAGCGTTTCTTTGTTAGCTGCTGGGTGTCTTTCCTGTTCAAAATACAAGCTAAGTGAAAGCTCAGGGATGGAACTGTGAGGGAGGAAAATCAGGCTTCTAAGCAAGACAAGGAAGTACTTTGTCGTGCCTTTCACTGATCCTCTGTCAAAGTTAGGAGCAGGAATTGATGGGCTCAATGTATATGTAAACCCACAGCCAGAAATTTAATGATTGCCTGTAAGACCTACAGCAAAGTGAAAATGTCTATGAATAAATACCCCTTCCACTGGCTGTGACTCCCTCACAAAATCTATGTAATTTACAAGTGATTCAGATAACATTACAACTCTAGTAAATCACAGTGTATTTGAAATGTTTTAATAACTAGCTTCTGACAGCAATCAGTGTAGCATCAGGCTTATATGATTTTATAACACCATATTACTGCAGAAATGGCAAGTCTTAATGCATTTATCTTCACATTATGCAGTGAAGTTTAAGGCATAGAGCATTGTAAATGATTTATCTAAGTCACACAAGAAATTGGAGGTAGACTAGGAACTCAGATTAAAGCTCCTAGTGTCCTCATGCACAGACCACCTTTTTCATTCCTGACACCGTCAGCTATGAATTTCCTAGCTATATACTGTACCAAGTGGCAAAAATACCGTTAACACCAGCGTGATACAAAATGTAGCGCTATCAGGAAATAAAAATACCAATAAAATACTTTAAAAAATTTAGTATATAGTGGATTATTAAAATGTGTTAAAAATCATAAGTCCTATACAAGTCTATTTTAAGTATGAAAAATTCTAGGAAACATCGTTACAGGGACAGTATTTATCTTCTCAACTCTTGAATATAGCCACAGGGCGGCACTGCTTCCTCGCTCTAGGATGCTAAAACTTGGCTGACGGCACGTGCCTGTAACTCAGAAAGTCATTCTGTACCTTTGGTTATTTCTTTGTTGTCAATAAGGCCTCCGCAGAGAGAAATGGCAATGGAGGGCAGATCTCGAATTCCATCCGAGGTGCTTTCAACTCCACTGTCAACACCTGAGCTCCCGACTGACTGCGGAGACTGACTGGCAGACCGTGGCCCCGTGTCATTCGTGTTCTTGCTTTGGACATTATCCCCACTGGACAAGAAAAATATACTTATTCCCAAATTCAATCCCTTCAATAAACATGTTTACATCTGACACATGCTTAGGAAAAAAGAAAGGAGAAAAAAAGAAATTGTTTGGTTTTGCTGTTAAATTGAAACAAAGTAGTATAGGCCTCATGCACCCTCAAATATTACATTGCTTCTACTTACTTGCCTAAACAAGGCATGTACAATTATAGCTTCGCTTACAAGAGATACGAAAAATAAGACAATAAGTTGTACAATCTGAGTAGACAAAATAATGCTACTATAAGCAGAGTTTATATACTAGTAGAACTATTCCCACACAGGAACAAGAATAAACATATTAGTTTACTATTTAATTTATATTAATTACATAAACTGATAGCTAAAACCAAAACAAAGAATGCATATGTTTGTGTATTTATACATCATGTATATATAAATAAAATACTCTTTATATAAGCTACCAGGATTAAAATTTTAAGAAACAATAAATCATTATACCCACTAAAAAACTGCGTATAGACGAGATCATTATTACAAAGGGCAGGCTCAAACTCTGTTTTCCATTCCAGATTTATATGAATGCATTTGAGAAAGGAATTTTCAATCCAACCTTTTTCTCCATATTCCTAATCTTTCTGTTTTATTGAAATGCTATTACAACAGATGAGTTTAAGCAAGCAAGAAAAAAAAATGAAATATGCAAGCTACTTTAGTTGTTGCTCAATGACTTTAGTCAAATGACTGGAGTATGATGAGGAAAGAGGACTATAAAAAAGATCAGAACAAGTCGGAAACTGTATGTCTATAATCTGTCATGTCTTCCAAAAATTATTTTCTAACATTCATATTTATAGGTGATCACCCACTGTAGAACAACATTAGAGCAACAATTTTGCACTAATGCCGTTAACAGTAAGATATGTTCTTCACGGTAATAAGCAAGGACATGGAGATAAATATATCCCAAGGCCAATTGCTCTCCCAGGGCATGTGAGTAACACTGACAAACATCAGTGTATATTACATAAGCATCATATATTGGTTGTGGATTGTTAATTGACCAAAATAGAAAATCACTTTCAAGTACACTTCTCAGGCTCAAATGCAGAGCCTTCCAAAAGGTCTAATATTCCTCTCTACAGAGATTTATTTTCCTTCTGCCTTCACCTCTGCTTGGACTCTGAAAAAGAGGTCTTATCTGGTTGGCAATGAAGAATTTGATCTAAATCTGTACGGTGATTACTATTAAAGAGCTCTTTAAATAGTAAAAATATAAGCAAAGGACTTGTACTTCTTGGGGAAATAAAGTGCAGCAACTTCTGGATCCATGTCAGTGAGGTCATCTAAATAGACACCATCAGCACCAAGATGCCGGCTTCGTTTGTCTGTAAGGGACAGCACAAACAAGCCTATTAATGAGCATTTTCTGAGTAACAAGGCAGAACTGTTATTACTGTTTAACAATTCATTTTAAGATTGAGAAACCAGACAACTTGCAACAGTTTGTGAATTGTATTTGTATAAAATGGTACTGCTAAAAATTTCAAAACAAGTTGTTCATATACATTGTTCAGACTTTGAATACACAAAATGGGACAGCAGAGGACTAGTTTTGAGACATTCTGAAGCATCCCTATCCTAGACAAAACCACTGGGAATTAGAAGGCAGTGGTGACTGTAGGAAAACAGCAAAAGGAAAACTTTCTGAGAAATTGTGATCATAGGCCTATGCAAAAAGGCAATCAAAGCATTCAATCTCCAAGAACTAATCTTCAGTCCCCTCCTTGTAAAAAGGAAATAACACAACAGACTATACCATAGTCAATAATACACTATAACTGGCTCGTTAAGGAGACAACTCACTAACACATACAACTGACATGTTCTGTGTGCACATGCATCATTGCAGGGGACAAGACAACCCTCCTAGGTCTTTCACTAGTACTAATGCACAGTCATCGCTGTCCTGTTGTTGCTAGTACATCTGGAAAAGTAATCACTGTAAGGCCAAAACCTAATTTGGAATTCATTCTAAAAGCCACTACTTCTCACTGTCCCAATTTCCAACATCAAACATCAGAAAAACAATCAGAAAAAAAGTTATGTAAAGACCGAATAGTAAGTAGAGTAACACTGTCATTTTTGTCTTCAAAGACAGTGGAATGCATGGGGAAGTGGCTAAGAAAATGGTATGTTTACTGATTAAAAAGCAGCTGCACAAACTAGGCTTATATAGGGCCTATATAATTACAGAATAATCAGATCTCTAAAACATAACATTTGTAAGCAAATAATTTTCATGTGAAGATTGTAACACTTACTGTAAAATACCCTGGATATAGAGTCCAGAAATTCAGAAGCAGAAAAGCAGACAGAATTATATTTCACAAATTCTGGACAGGACATGTACCATACAGAACTGAAATTCCTCATGTGACAAAAAAGCACCTTATTTTATGAAAAATGTGTTGTTTGTGCAAAAGACATACTACAACTTTGTATTAGAGCAGAGAGGTTCCACAATTACCAGCAACACATAAAACTCGGAAAGCAGTCAGAGGAGGTGAATCAGCAGATCTACAGTGCACTTGTACCAAAAAGTGAAATCTCTGAATCTGTCAAATATGGATCAATTTGGAGCAAGTTTTGCAGTCTTGCCTATACACACAGAACTGCCAAAAGCCCCAGACCAAGAATCTTCTATCTTACTACACAGCTCCTGTTAACAGCCTGCTGCACAGCCCAGGTTTTGAAAGTTCTATCCAAAGCTTATTCTTCTCCAGATCTGAAAGTGCCTTCAGGGCACAGATTAATTTATATGGCAATGAGGTGCTTCATCACCATGAAATTTAAAGACAAAATCATACATATAAAAGTGCAGAATCAACAGCTTTACCTTTCTTCCTGGAAGGGGAATCTGTCTTGCCAGCTGGTTGGGCTGAGCAAGTTGCAGTCTGTTTTACTTCTTCATTGGCAGGCAATGGTGGTACAGCTGCTCCTGGAGACTCTATCTCTGGCTTATTTGTCTCAGCTGGTAAGGGCTCACTTTCATCAGCAGTTGCTGCATCTGCTTGTCCAAGGGTAGGTAGAGGAGACACAGTGTTAAACTCCTCTATAGGTAAACTTTGGATGACCCGAAAGTGAGTGCTTTCAGAAGGATTTACATCCACCATGCTGGGTTCCTTTGCTTTGAGCAGAGAACTGGCCTGTGAGGAAAAATAAACAGACTACTATCAAGAAAAGCTCTTAAAAAATGCAACAGCCAGAGTTTAACCTGTTCTGTCCACTCCAGTGACATCAGATTCTCAAGGCAACCAACTACAGCAGAAAGCCACCACTAACTAAGTGGAGACTACAGCGTACAAAAGACCTCTCTGCTGTGTGCTTGCTTGCACAAAATTCATCTGTATCTTTGGGCCAGGAAAGATTTGTTCTGCATTGCACTCTACAGTCCTCATTTCCCACTCACCGGCCTGGGAGCATACCATGGCACCCACCCTGCCCTCCTCCCTTCCTGCACAAATCCTAGCTTTTCTTCAGAACATAGCCCCAACAAACATGAGAAGGGAGCGCAGACTGGAGTCCTTACACAATCAGGATGCTCTCAGGGACCAGAACAGGGGTACACTGTCATACATCTATACCCCAGATCTAAGATTTTAAATCACTCTATAGGAACAATTCTAGATCTTCTCCGAGCGTGGGACAGGAGGTGCTCTTACAGAGGGGAACTGAACTCCTACAGCAGCAGCTGTGTAGCTGCTATAAGCTTCACATCATAGCAACCAAACTGTTACACAAAGATCAACAGCATCCAAAGCGTAACTTCCAGTTCAGGTATGGCCAGATCAACTCTGAATAGCTTGGCTAGGGGACCGCAGAGGGAAAAGCCTCCAGGAATAAGATTTGCAATTCACACCAGGCTGTGTACCTGGGATAAGAATGAAAACACCTAAATCCACTAACAAGAAACCCTAAATTCTAGACTGGAAAAGCCAATTTGAAACTCCCATCTGGACCTGTGCACTTAAATCAGTTCTCTGTGCACAAAGAATAGCTCCAAATTTTCTTGTAATAGACATGAGGAGAACAATGCACAGGTGATGGGATAGCTCATCTTTGGCCTACTAAAGAAGAGGCCAGAGCTCTTCTGAAGGAATTAAGAATTCTGGATTCCTACCTCAGCTTTTGTCAGCAGCTACCAACAGTGAATTAAAGATAAATTCTAATAGTGCCATTATAATTCTGGTGCCACCACCACAACAGAGAAGTCTTTTTTCTGAGGAGGATACCCACTTCCCTGGCACGCAAAGCAGGAATTTTCTTTCTTTATACTGTTCCTGACCGCTCATTCCTGCAGTCCCTTCTGCAGAAAAGCCAGCCTTCAGCAGAAGGGGTCAAACCCTGCAGCATCCCTGTCCCCATAGTTGGAGTATGCCACTGGAACCCGACCTTTATTTCTCACACTCCGAGGCAAGCGTGAGCCCTACGTCTCCCCTTTCCTGTACGAATGCTCTGACTCCACAGCTATCATAAGGAGCCGGCCAGTACCTGACTGACCTGCAGTGTACGCAGCTGCAGCATTGGAGACAATGCTGCTGGCACGCTACAGATCCTGCCATCTAACTGGGACAAATGGCTTCAGGGAGGAGACAGGCAACAAGCCAGTCTGCTCAGCCAAGAGAACAGCACGTCCGGGCATGCAGAGATACAGAACTGCAGGTGTTTCTGGATGCTTATGTACTTAAGCAACCGATTTTAATTTTTGTGAATTAACACTGCTGACACCAAGCACCTAATTTCCATCTAAGACCACTTATGAATTTCAATGATTTACCAAAGGACATTGGGTTTGATCTTAAATGTTATTTAAGCTTTTAACTTTTACAAGGTTAGGTCTCAGGTACTTCTTCATTTTCTGCTGTGTATCATCGGTGTTGAGAACATCCATGGCACAAGGTACTTTTCTGTACCTCCTAAGGAGCAAGATGCAATTCTCTTACATAAAATTTTGCAATTTTACGTAAAAACAGGATTCATTCCTTCTTCAGCAGTCTGCAATAGAATAAGCACATGTGCCCCATTAAAGCACAATAGATGCTAGCAGGAATTAAATATATTATGTTGGATACCTTTGCAGCCTGGGGTAGCTCTCCCCATGCCCAGTGCATGTGGGGATTATTCTTCAGTCCACTTCTGTCCATAGGTTTACTGACCAATTCTGAGTCACTTTTAGGAGTAGGAGGGCGTGAACCTGATGGGCTGAAGAAAAAGAAACAAAAAAATATTACAAACCCAAAAGTAACCACAGTGCACTAAGCACTTTCCAAACTGATATCCACCAACACAAAGCATTGAAGATCTAAATAAACATTAGCCAATTGAAAGTATGAAAGCATGGCAGAAGAGTTTAAATATTTCAGGATCCTCTTAGACTGGCATCCAGAGGTCTCATTTATTTTTTTAGTAAGTGCTGTCACAGAAGTAGGATTTGAGAAAGCTGAAAGAGATGGAACAAGAGCACTGGACCTGAACACTTCAGGATGATTTCTGGGTTTCTGTGTGGAAGAAAGAATGAGGACGGTACCAGCAGCAGCAGATGAACAGATGTTAGTATTGTTATAATGGATGTAAATGCAGAAATTACTCACTTACACCAACAAGACACTTTATCCTGATATTGTAACATGTCCTGAGAAGTAATAAATTAATCTAAGGAATCCAGTTGATTACTTCCTTCTACTAACTTGCTCAGTTCTACCCTTGGATGCATGTTTATAGGGAAACCAACAGGAGAGCTATACACAGAATTTGAGCCCTTCCAGTTCAAAAATATTTAACTGTTTGTTTTGCTGACTACGCAATATAAAATATTTAATAATTAATTAGTAAATTATCAGTTTGTAGCACATTTTTAATCTAGTGAAGTCAATAATGTGATAAGTCAGCCATTAATAAATAACAATTCACTGATTTCAAGGACAAAAGGAAAAATTATCTACTCTGCCCTTCTGCATAACACAAGTCATAGAATTTCACCCAGAACCACCTGAACAAAGCCCATTATTTTTTGTCTGAGCCATAGCATGTCTTTGGTATACTTGTGCAATCCTGATTTAAAAACTACAAGCAACAAAAGAAACCACAACATTCCTAAATCAAAAGTCCAAACCAAGTTACTTTCAGTCTCAAAAAACAAAAGGTTTCCTGCATTTAGTACAAATTCTTCATGTTTGATTTTCTCTTTAACTTCTTCTGCATAAACTGAGTATCGGAACTAGTTTTGTTCTTTCAATTTAATGTAGTTTTGTAGAGTTAGCTTGTAGGGAATTCATTGGTCACAGGAAAATAATTACTTCACACTAACATAAAGCAGCTTTCAAAAATCTGTGAATTTCACATCTGAAAAAACTAACTGCAACCTAACTGTCTACATTATTTGTTATTTTCATCTATGTTGCAGTAAGATACACTTTGAATACTGACAAACATTATAACTTCTTAGCTACAGATAATTACGTTATTTAACTAAACTATATCATTTATAAGCAATACCACTGTAGAAGATCTTTTTTGGTCCTAAGAATTTAAAATTTTTATCAGTCCTTAGGGTATAACCCATCATTTGACAGATGAAGGAATCAATACAATGTGATTTAAAAAGTATTTTCAAGCTCTAAGGATTCAAGAAATGCCTGGTGGGTTTTTCAGCAACTTCTAATCTCCCGCTGACAAATTTGTAGGATTTGCAGTATCTTCCACGCATCTAAGGCCCACTGAAACCCTGGAAATCAGGAGCCTCGTCACTTAGAAAATCTCAGCAGGCAATAATGCTTCAACTGCTGCTTTAAGCCCAAATCATCTAGATTTAAGGGAGTGTTGTCACTATATGAGTTCATCTGTGCACTATACACATTTTAACCTTCAAAATACCTACTGTTTACTTAGAAAAATCTCCAATCTGGGCTTTGGGGTATGTTCAGCCCAGGTTCACTCATGCAGCCAGACAACCTGAGAGAATACCAGCATTGTTTCAGTTCGGGCTAGAACCTCTGCATTTTGCAGTGAGAACACTGATCAGGGTTGGCGGGGGGTGGAAACCTTGCCTTTTCCATAATTTTGCCTGAAAATACAGTTGCCTTGGACACACAACTGAGTAAGGAAGAAGCCTATGCTGTTACTCAGCACCAAGAACCATCATGTATATTCCCAGACATGCATATGCAAGTGCCAGAAATATGGCAATTGCGTATGTGTGTATGTTAAAACAGGCAGAGTTCTGCTCTAAGAAGACTCTTGCTGCGAAAGGCTGCCCGATGATCCATGCCTGCTTCTGGGTTATTGGTTCAGAGCAGGTATAGCTACAAGTATAACCATGGTAAGTTAGCAAAAGGGTGAGCGCATCTAACCCCCAAAATATTACCTGCTCTCCCAAAACAAAGTACACAAAATACGCACTATCCACTGAACTTTTGACGCAAGCATAATGGAGACATCTTAATTCTCATTCTAGAAATACTACTTTTCTATATAATAAAGTATAAGGATTTAGTAGTAACAGAATGTTAGATCTTCAGAATTCTTTTCAGTTGATTTCTCCTTGTAGATTAGTGTACAAACACTAATACAACCTCAGGGTAGACCAGAATTATCACTGCAATGTCATCTTAATTTAAAAGGCCCAAGATCAAATCAGACTGCAAACATGCATCCACAAGGTAAGCAGAGGGTAAATTATTTTGTTCGTATAAAAGGATACTAAAGCATTCTCATTCCTTATATCATCTGGAACATAAGCTGGGATTTTCTATGCTACCCACAAACATTAATACAGTATTGGTGGCCTCCCAGTGAGAGTTGGTTTTCTGTTACAGAAAAGTACCTTTACTTTTTTCTTCATATGTCATATTGTTGTTTTACAGTCAGTAACTACTCTCTCAGTCTAATAACTTTCTGTAACAGCAACAATAACCTCTGTAGTTTATGGATGCAGATGGCAATCACACCTACTACAGTCCTGTTTGTATACTTCTTGTTTATATAGTTCTACTTCCATATGTAATGCCAGACGTCATCTCCTTTACCCGCACTGGGACTATTGTGGCTGCTACTCACTTCATATTATTGCCACCAAAGTAGAATGAGACTAAAGACTCATAAAGCTCACAATCGCATTCCTTTAATTTTTTTTTAGCTCAGTTAGGTCAAATTAAATCCTGAATTAATGTTGCACTTGCAGTAGGGGTCAATAAGGCTGAAGACCAAGACCATGTAGGATTTGTAACCCAGTGATAGTATCCTGCAAATGCATCCATGGATCAGACTCAAAGTGAGTTATTTATTCCTTGCATCACCAAGACGTTTGTCTCAGGCTGAACTACACCTTGCAATTCCCCTGTCCTTATGTTAGGCACTGACCTAGCCCAGCTGAAATTCTCTTGCCTTACATAGATTGCTGAGATATTGCAGATCAAACTAGAGCCATCCATCCTGTCAATACTGCACAAGAAGGAAGGGAAACTTCAGTTCAGTCATTTACATCAGCATATCTGATTCACATCCCATAAATGCTGGATATTTGTGTCACAGTCCTATGTACTCCTTAACAGCTATGATTGCACTTTATGTAATCCAATGTCAAAGAATAAGGAACTTGGCTTGTAATTGGCAGCTCTGCAACAGCAAACCACTGTGATCTTTGCAGTGTTTCCCACTGAAAGCAAAGAGAGCCCTGAGAAAGCAGCAGTGTGACCCGAGAAAAAGCCCTGTCTTGACTAAGGCCAAATAAACTGGGAAGAGATAGTCAGAAGGAAAGAGGCCTCCCCCATGTTGTACATGTCACAACAATAGCTGAGAGTCTCTGAATCTCCTTTGAGGTGGGCACAACAGAGTTTACTTCACAGGGAGGAGAACAGTTACAGACACAGTGGTGGCCTTACTCAGACAAGTTACTACAGCACTTTACCTGTATATCTAGACGGCAGGACACATGAACGATCGTGGAGCCACCCGAAGCACACCACTGCTCCATCCCGACCTGTGTGCCTGCCCTTCCTTCTCAAGAGAAACACTGAGAAGAACAGCCTTGAATGTACCAGGATCTCACCTTGACTTGGTGCTGCAACACCATGGTCAGGTTAAAGAGGGCAGACTTAGATGCTGGGAAAACCTCAAGATTATCAGTTTCGATCCGGCCTTAGGCACCTAGCATGGCATCTATGTTGAGATAAGCAATGAGTGATTTAGCCTCATTTATTACTCAAAGCTTTGCCACAATTAAAGGAGAACTGTAGAGGTCATATTCAGACACCTGCTTTAAATTTTTTTAACTGAGTTGCCATGACTTCTCTCCACTGACTTAATGGACAGAAAAGGCCTGGCTGCAGAATCTTGAGACATCTCGAATTTAAGGTATCATAAAAAGTGTCTGTATCCACTTTTAGCTCTGTAGAAAAGAGTCCACAATCAGAGGAATACTATACTACAGCAAAGGCTTAAGTCTGGGTCTCCTAAACCTTAGACAAGATGCCTTATCTATTGTGTCATCTTTATAAGATGCTCCTCTACTGCAATCCAAAATACAGAAAGTCTTCCCCTCTCCCAGACCAGGAAACAAAGGAAAAGAAATTCTCTTTTGGTACTGGGCTCCATCCATTACAAGTTTTGCACTCCTTATTGCTCACTTAATCTCCGAGGCGTTTGGTTTGCTTTTACTTTTGCAACCTATGCACAAGCAAACAACTCAGGAAAACCATGGGATAAAAATGTCATTAAAATATACACTGACTGTAAAAAGCCACATGGAAGTCTTCAGAGGAATGTAGGTTTTCACTAGCTAAGGTCTTCCTTTTTTTATCATCTTAATTAACTTAAGTTTTAACCCAGGTTTTCATTGGCCTGATTTTATATTAGCCATCATCATTCAACAGATGATTGATCAAGGTAATTTACCTCCAGTCAATATCCACAAAGAAGCAAGCAGATGAAGTGGTTCTCAATGTCATTTTCTTTCAAAGTTTCTGGGTTAGCAATAAGCGCTAAGAAGTTCAACAAAGTTCACATACTATTACTGTGTTAAAAGTGTATTAATTAATTAAAAGGATTAAAGAGCAGCCCAGAAAAGAGGGACAACAACTGTTCTACCTGTCTGTAGGAGAAAAGTGAGAAGATTGTTGAGGACAAGAGTTAGATAGGCCTCCGTCTGCTGGAACAGTGAGAAGAGAGGATTGCCCTGTGCAATCTATAGGCTTACTGGACAGCACAGCATGTTGGTAGAAAGAAAAACAGGGTGTCATTATTCACAAGTGCTGATTAACATAAGCTCTTTGTGCATTAGCTACAGGAATGCTGAATTTACATCCAGAGTTTTCAAAATCCAGAATAATGCAATCAAGAAACAAACAGAACATACAGTTCAAAAGCCATTGAAGGGGCAGGGTATTGACACATGCTATCACCAGACTGGTGAAGCTAATCGCATTAAGCTTTACAGTCAGTGCAGAAAGTTTCTTCCCAAATGCAATTCAAAACATTTAAATTAAGCCCTTGCTCTGAAATAATCTCCCTGCTCTCCCTTCCTCTGCCCCTCAACTACAGAGGCAGTATATTGAGATTAGATTTCTCAGGATAAGGTCTTGTGAATATTGCTCCACTCTGGTAGTCTGCATGGAGGATGTGGGGCACACGTGCAAGGGGGCGCACACACACACAATTTCATTGGAATTATAATGCAATGTACATTAAGCATAAAATTTTCCCTTTTTGACAGTGTCCACAGACACAAGAAAGGAGATCCAAGCTGATCTGTCTTGACATCAAAGGTATACATATGCACACAAATACACATATGGGAAAAAGTAAGCAAATTACTGTATGTGTTCTTTTCACACCATAAATATTTCATGTCTATCTAACTGTGCAATTCAATAATTAGCTTTGAAAGAGACACAAAAAGCTCATATTCTTACTCATTAAAATACTATTACCTTTATGCACCAACTCCAATCTTGCAAGTTCTTACAAGGATTACACCCAAATTACTAAAGATTTATATACCTGCGTTCATGGAAGTCCTTACAAGGTGTGTGCATCAGGCAAAGATTCAGATTTCACAAAATGTTCACTTATTGTATTGTACAAACAGTATTTATATGCAAACAGTGACATTAACAGATACAAACATTTTTCAGAATTTGTGGACCTGCATCTGTATGCATGCATTTGTTGAATAAAGGAAAAAGCTAACCTAAAGTTTTTGTACACTATCTGATTTCAAATATAGAAAGTATTCACTTAGTAACTGACAGTGACCATGTTTGATACTAGAATTTTTAGTAAGACTTCATATAGCACTAGCATATAAGACATTAACAGAAAGAGGAAGATTATTTAGAACTGTACTATAAGCAAAAGTACCTTTGAAGAGGTGACCATTCTCCATCTGAATGAGGGTAAGATGCAGACTGAGAAAATGTAGAAACGGCAGGAGCCTTTATGTCAGATACGTCATCAACAAACACATCTGGAACAGGGATTCTAGGTGCAGGGAAAGATGTGACATTTAAAAACCATGCTTGACTACTGAACTGTCCTACACTTCAGATAACAAACCCTACTGCAGAGAAGAATTAGTATAACCTGAACTAAAAGGAGAGAGAGGAATGTTACCTGATTCACACCTTCTAGTTCACAGCATGACATAGGATTGTTCTTATATTTTCAATGCAATTTTCATTATTTTTGTTAGTAACATTCCCAATAGCTTTCCAGCCTAAAGCTTTTCCTTAAAGAAACATGCTCATCAGCCATGTGTACTAACTTAGAAATTACTGTTAGAAAGCATGGAATGCAACATTAACCCAGCAGTAGGTTTCCATTACATATCTCAAGTCCACTATGATACCTTGAATTGTCCAACGGTTCTTTTTCTTCCTCTGAGCTAATCTCTATAGGGAACACGTCTTCATCTTCTGATGTGTCTCCATTGTCTTCTCTTTTTAAGCTGTCTATTTTATGGGTAGACTTCCTCCTCTTCTTCCTCCTTTTTTTCACAGAGCTACAGACTGGAGATGTTTCAGTAGAAGGCTGGGATCCATGGGCTTGGGGTGGTACTTGTGAAGATACACTGGTGTCCAGGTTTCTTATCCTGTCCATGGAATTCCTCTTCAGCTGAGCTTCCATTAAAGCAGTTCCCTCAGACAGAATGGGAGACGTGGAGAGATGATAAGGAATTACCTCCTGAGAAAGAAAAAATTCAAACCATGCAACATATTAATTCCTCCACCAGTCATAAATCTGGTTCTAAATTCTATGCACAAACACCAAAATCCAAGTCATTTATTCCTCAGAAAAGTAACAAAGATTAGACATCTGGATAGCATATGGAAATTGTTCCATAGCTGCACCTCCTTAGACAAGCCAGGAACAATACTCTTAATAAAGAGAATCCTCTGAGCATCTAATATGGCCAGGTTATGGCATGAGCCTCTATCCACTGGACGCTAGACACAGAGTAGAAACAAAATCCTAGTTTATAACCTGAACATTTTGTAAAATTCAATTCTCCTTCACAACTCAGATGATGGATAGCAGTCAGACAGATCGAGCAGTTTGTAACTAGATCACACAAACATCCTCTTATTCATATATATATATATATATGCGCACACACATCTCTAGACACTCATGGAAGTATTTCTAGCAATTTGCAGTCATCAAATAGCTGTTACCACACAGAAGATTTAAATATAAAGATCAGAAGATTTAAACATAAAGATACAGAGATGAATACTGCACACGCACACAGCTCTCACCTGAAACTAGCAATATCATACTTAATAGAAGAATTTGGAAACTCACCCCACTCTGGACAGTGACAAAAATTATTGAGGATATCTGAAGAGAAACACCTGTAAAAAGCTTTTCTTATGTTACATTACGTGTTGACTACTCAAAATTAGTGTGATCATAACTTTTATAGGCCAGTACTTAATCACACAGCTCAACAGCAGGCATTCTCATTTAAACAATTCCACATGAATAATAGTTGCAAGATCACATCTCTGGTGAGTACCAGAATTGATGTGTGCAGAGATGTTTACAGGGCATGTGCACTATTACTGGCAGTCTGATGAGTGCATATGTTCAAAGTAAAGATTTCTGCCAAAATCAGGTCCATGGACCTCTGTTGTACACATCTGTAACCTCTGTTGTACACACCTTCAGAGCCTGTGAACTCTGTACATGTTATGTCTGTTCACACACTGGCATGCATATGAACTATGATTTATTTTTCAGTTATGTGATTACCTTCTTTAGATTTTTCCAAATCTCAGCAACTCAAAAAACAAAGTAACTGCAGAGTATTGAATTTCTATAGCAGAAAATTGCCCAGAAACTTTCAAAACTATAAAATGTGTAAAGGTAGATTTTTCAACAAAATTCCTAAACTCAAAAATTACTCTGAAGAGCAGGTATTCAATTTTTAACAAAATAAAATTAGTTTTGACTCCTACCTGATCATTATCCATCTCCTGCACAAAAAAGGCCTCTCCATTGTCTCCCAGTTTCATGTGCAAATCTACAGCCTCTCCATTAATTTCTATGTCAACCTGGAAGAAAATAAATATATTCTCATACGAAAAGAAAGTTATTTTAAGTACATAGATCCTGTTCAGCTATCCTACCGCTGTCACTGGGCAAATGCTTCTCAGGGAAGTGTAGGAAACCTTATAATAAACATAAAATACTGAACTTCTCTGTTTCTCTCCTCACTTCTTCACAAGGCCACCAATTGTCAAAATGTTTTTCTAACTCATTCAGCTCATTGCTGTCTTGCTTCTCTCTACTCAGGAAGGTTTATAGTCATTATATAACATCCTGAATCTTTTTAAATGTAATTCTGAATGCTTCACTCACCACACAAATCTCTTTGCTCTTTTAATTCATAGCCTAATTTTGAATTGTTCAAGAAGTACTTCCACATGCAAATTCTTAGTATGCTGTCTTTCAAATTCATTAAACAGAGTTCTATTTACACTATGAGCACAAATAAGAAAAAATTGTTTTATATTCTTGACACAATTCATGTGTATTTCTTTCGCACATTTATCTCACCACTCTAGAGCCCCAAGTATTTCCATTTCTTCTCAGGAGGATCTTTGTCTTTGTCTGTAACTGTTCTTGCCACCAACTCCATTTTCACTGTATTTTTTTTGGAGATTTGGACAAGTCTACATTTATGTTGCATTTCAGGACACAGTATACTATTGTCATGGTAACATTTTCAACTTTTACCCATCCTAAATATTGGAATTTCTTTCTGATTTATGTAAGAATTGAACAATGTCCATGGTGACGTTACGGTCCTTCTGCTGAACAATTATAGCTACCTTAGAACCTAGACTGTATGTAGTTACAAATTATTTCCTAAAATAATCCATCGTGCATTAGTCACTGGCAACTTCACATCTCATATCATATTGCCAAGTCATTCAGCCTGGTTACATTTATCTCAAGGTCCTCACTGCTTTCTCTAGCTTCAATTAACCTCAACATTCTGTTATCTGAAAATATTACTTCATTATTACCTCCCTTTTTGTAACTATCATTGAACATGTTAAACAAAGGGGTCTTGATACACAGTCATTAATGAAATCTAGTATAGGCTCAAATTAGCGCATTCAAAATGTTGCTTTATTGAAAATAAATGTTACAAATGTCATAGCTTGTTTTGTTTTTATTATAGTCACTATCTTACAAATTACGCTTTGAAATGCAAGAATCAGCAACAACCATTTTAATTGAACCTTGCTGCAATTTGGGCACTTTATGAAGAGTATCTAAAGAAAATCTTGACTAGCATACCACATTCAGTATAGAACATTCGGTAACTTTCATGCCATTAGAGTTAACCCACAGACAGAATGCAACAAAATTGCCAATTTTCTTACCACTTTCTCCCTAGAACGTAGAACTCCCATTTTCCCAAAGCGTACATGGAAAGGGGAACACTGAAGATTTCCATCTGGCTGACGTACAACAATTATATCTATACATCCCGACAACGTGGCTGGGTTTAGTCCTTTATAGAGCTCCTTCACAGTTACAAACACTTGCCCAGCTAACTGCCCAACGTAATTCATGGTTTGGACCTGAAAGGCAAAAGACAGAACAAACAAGTTTTTGATCCCTGCTTTATATTTTAGGGACATTTGAGAGACAGAGAGTCCAGCAATGGAGTATTCTCCTGTTTCACAAATCAACAACTTCACATAAAATCAGGATTTCCCACCTAATTTATTTACGCTGACATGTGTTTATAGAGAGCTATTAAAAGAAAAAAGCAAAAGAGACCTTGTAAGTCAGAGAATTGTAACAACTTTCAAAAGTTCATAAAATCAGTTGCGTTCAAAACCACTGTCAGGCTTTTAGACTCTGCAGCTCATAAATGCCATCAATTATCTCTGAAGAGAAAAGCATTACTTCCAAAATAACATCTCCTCCTATCATTTATCGTGCCCTCAACACCAAATATACTTTTCTCATGTATTTCTGCAGGCTTTTAAGGGCAGGGCAAGTGAATGGTTTTAAGCAGATCTAATTTTCCACTACACTGAAGTCAAAGTCTATTTTCCTACTTTACAAGGATTTCTTCCATTAAAAGATTATTATAATGCATACTCACAATAGATGTGCATTAGGGTTTGAGAAGCAACCTTGAATCCAGAGCATCTAAACTTTAGAGTGCTTCCCAATGCAACTTGACCATTCTTGATTTAAAACAGGCTTTTAGCATCAGCAGGTTTATTAAAAATTAGGCATGTGTTGATGATTGAAGTGATTGGCCTTATCTCCCCAGCTCCTGGATTTATTTAGTATTTAGCCTTTAGTTTCCTGCTTCTACTCTGTTAATGATCCATTAATACACTTAGTCCCCTAAACAGGACAGTATGCATACTTAGACATAGTTAAAAGTTCAAAACATCTTTTAAGGGCTCTCAAAATATGAATGAATTTAGGCAGATATCCTCCTGAACAGTACAGATTTTAAGGACTTTCAATGTCTATTGTTTCCAATATTTTTCAAGCACCTCTTGCAGGTTCTAAGATACCGATTTCAGCACAGTCCTTGTGCACTCAGTATAAAGCATATGCCTTGCGTATAAGTTCTTTGCTAGGCTGTACTACCTCACCTGGACATCAATAAGAGAGACACTTGCAGGGTAGGCAATGCTAAAAGTCCCATTGATAGCGATGAGAACAGAACTGAGCTCAGAGTCTGAGAGACAGTCACTGCACTGAGCTGCACGGCGTGTGTTAACCAGCATCATCTGCTACAATACAGACTCTCTTTCAGCTCTGTTCTTTCATAAAGAACAAAAAGATGTAAGGGTGAAATGCTGTAAAAATAGCTCCAACTTTTAACTGTGATTTATACTTGGAAACAAAAAAATATTAAAAGAATACAATGAAAGCATTACAGTAAAAAATTGGAAAGTTAGGAAATCCTATAATTTAGGCTGGTCTCTTCATGCATAGCTGTTCTAATTAATTAATGATCACCTGTGGTTTTTTCTGAAAGTCCATCCACATAGAATGGACTGAAGCTTTGCTTTCATCTCCGTTTCTATTGCAATACATGGGTATCGGGACACAAACCACGCTCTGAAGAGAGAATTAGTTACGTTCCTCTGGGCTTTATGATAGTCATCACTACATTGCCCCGGAAAAGCAATTACGGTCTCCCCATCTGATAACTGGGGAGCTGAATCACAAAAAGATTGAGATGAAAACTAGGCTCTAACTTTGGAAACCAGACTTTTTTGAAGTATTTAGTATACAACATGTTAACTAATGAAAGAACAACCCCTGAACACTGTTTGGAGAAGCATTTCTCCACAGCTCTCAATTCAGGCATCTAGAAAGTGCCACCTACTGAAAAGTCAACACACGAAAACTTCATGGCAGAAAGAGCAATTATATTTAGGTCTCCAGCATTCAACTGGTATTAGCACTTCTGGGTTCCTACTATACTTTAGGAACACACCTTCCTGAATGCAAATCTGGTGGTAAGCCGTTCCATAGGGCACTGCACTTGAAACTCACGCCGCACCCTATGCTGTGTCACACACCAGGTTGGAACAGACCTCGAGGTCACCCAGTCCAACCGCCTGCCCAAAGGATGGCCAGCTTGGACCAGGTTGCCCACAGCCTTGCTCCCCTTGAGTTCTCAATGTCTTCAAGGATGGAGATTTCTCAGCCTCCCTGCACTCCTCTTCCTACGTCTGCCTGTCCTCACAGCAAAAATTTTCTTCCCAATATCTAATCTGAATTTCCCTTGTTGTAGCCTGTGCCTGTTGCATCTCGTCCTACCACTGCACCTCAAAGATTCCGGCTCTGTTTCCTCTATACCCCTAGAACAGGTAACTGAATACTCTGAAGATTGACCAAAACTAGCTCGCTCAGCCTCTCCTTTTAAGTCATAAGCTCTTAGCCCCCTAATTATTTTGGGGGCCATCATCTGAACTCTTTAAAAAGCTGGCACCACACAGACACAGACCTAGGTTCAGAAGTAAGCCTCCAGGGTAAGCAAACTTTTAAAACTATCCCTTTGCTTTGGAAAAACACTTCAGTTTCTACTGGGGGTTTTTCTAACCAAAAGCACAGTAAGAAACACATTTCTTATTGAGCTAGGGTGAAACTTAAAGATGGCTACAATTAGACTCAAAATTACATGGTGTCATTCACCCCAGTTAATGCTTGGTCTGCTGAAGCAACAAAATTTCTAGGTGCAAAACAGCCACAACTTCCTTGGTGGGGAAGGAGTTGCTGGGACAGTCCATACACCCCACTGTTCGGGAGAGCTATGGGCAAACAATCCAAATATGAGCACTCATGCATCCTTTTAAACAAGTTACATCAGCAGGTCTCCTAAACTCTTAAGCAGAGAATTTTGCAACTATTCTTGTCTATAACAAATCTTAGTCATGCTGCCTGCCTTATCTTAGGACACAGAGATTATTTTTATACTCATGAATTAAAAAAGTTTTAGACACCACCCTCGAGCTCTGAGGCCAACTGGCACAGCACAGCTTGCTTCCATACAGTGAAAAACTCTCATCCCTCAAAAAGAAAGTGCCACATTCAAACTGTCAGCTGGTGATGGACATTCCTTTCAAGCTGGGTTGAACCTGGCCTGTGCAACAAAATCACTGAGGAATTAAAAGACAGACTAGGAGACTAATCATCTAAATCCCACTTCCTCAGGAAACCAGACAAAAATGTTTTTTTTAATTTCAAATGTAGGAACAAAAGATCTTGTAGTTAAAATGGGAGAGAGTTTAGAAATCGGACGTTGATGGATGTAGGCCCTTTATCCTAACTTTTATACATGCCAACCAAAGCTGAGATTGTTTGGAGTCTGAGGTTTGTAAGGTTATACTCAGAACCTAAAGTCAGTCCATACTATGTCAGTACCACAGGAAACCAACATTCCTCAAACCCCAGAGAGACTGCATGTGGTTTTGGAGCAACATTTTACTCTGGCCACTCCAAGAAGTCTTTCACTTACTAACCAAGCGGCAGCAACTTCAGCAGTAAACATGAGTTTATGTCATGGATTAAACCCCCACTGTCTGCCTGCTAATTATACTGAATTTAGTAACACTCTTGTTCTCATAGTATGCTAGTGGACATAGCATAGAATATTTTTTGCTGCTGGGAAAATTCAGAATCCTTTTGATCTAAGCTTCCAGCAAGTGAGAACAGTCTGTACCGTTTCTGTCAGGATTTTCAAATGGCTTGAGTTTTGTTCTTTGCCAGGAGAAACTCCACAGCTCTACATTATGCATCTATTATGAAATTTAAAGTATTTTCTAGTATAATTTTTAACATCAGTTTAACTAGCATCACCTGCCAGGTGGCTCAGAGAATTTTCAACTCTTTTGATTATTAAAGACAGTAGTCATTTTTCAGAATTCATCATCTCTTGGAAAAATAAGTGAAAAATAAATAGCTTGGTGTTCCCTTATTACTTCACTAATTTTTTAAGTTAGCAAAGATTGACCTAACAAAGTTAATTCTTCAAAGTCCCCCTCTACTGGATGCCACAGCAAGATCACATGCATTGTCATCTAGATAATCCACTTCTTGCTCTACTGGATGTCACAGCAAGATCAAATGCATTGTCATCTAGATAATCCACTTCTTTCATACAGGTACACCGGACTATATCCTAAATCCATTGAAAAAGCTAGTAACTGTACCCTTCATGGCCCATTTTTTACAGCCCAGCTCTTCCCCATACCATTTCATCTTTCTTTACCATATTTTGTAAAATAAAATACCAAAAGTCATAGGAACTAAGAGCCTTTTTTCCTTTTGCGAGACCGGTGTCTTCTCAGGTGCCACAACAAAATGAACAACAGGTTAGATATCCACACACATCCAAATCACTTTGGGATTCAAGTGCTATTCAACATGCTCTAAAGATGGACAGTTTTTGGAGAAAAAAAAATAATTAAAAAAACCCCACATTATTTGGGTAGCATGCTATAAAAGTAATTAAAAACTGGAACACACTTCATCTGGAAGATATGGAATCTCCAGTACATAAAATTTTGAAGAGCAGGACAAACATCTGTTGGGACTGGTTTAGGAACAGGCAATTGTAATCTTTGGGACAGAGATTGCCACTGTGCCTGTGTCCAAACCAGGAAACCAAACCATATCACATCACAGACCCAGACATTTGGTTATCTACACTGAATCTATTTAAATCACAAAATCTGCTTCTGGTACATTTTAGGCCCAGGCCAATAAGCGCTCTCCCAACAACTCCTAGGCACAGCCAATGAGATAAAATGGACTGGGGACTACTCCCATAGCCAGTTTAGAAGTAGTCACCTTCTTTCAGAGGTTGAGAGCTTTACAGAACAGATGTGAATAGATGGTGCGAGCTGGTCTGACCGTTTTGTTCACTAGCAGGGATGTAACATTTGGGTCCCTTTCAGACCTTTTCCCAGGCTCCACACTTTTAACTGTGCATTGGTTTTGTATGCCATGAGAGGAAGGTTTGCAGCAATGGTAAACACAACACCAACTAAATGCTTGGCACAAAGAAAGACAACACATACAGACATATCTT